TCCCCCTATATACCCTACTTACATCTTCGCTCTCAACCCTACGAATTCTACCATAATCGCGCCACGATTCTCATCCTTCATCAGACCCGGAACGCTCTTATTCGCGCGCGGCATACCGAACACGTTGTTCTCGGCGTAGTCGCTCGTGTCGAATCTTTCGATGTAGCGTTTCATATCCCTATAAAGGTCGTCGCGTGCGACAAAGTAGATCAGACTGTCCGTGTCCGTGTACAGTATTCGACACACACCGCGATATAGCGGCACCATGTATTCGTAGTGAAACGCGTACAATCGTCGCGTACATCGTTTTCGCTATCTCCAGGATGGCCATGCCAACGTATATCGGTTTGTTGAGCATCACTTCGAGTTTTCGTAAATCAACGGCCATCAGATCCTCGGAGAAACACGCTTCTACTGTGAAAATTCGGCGTAGCAATTAGCGCTTCCGCGCCATACCGTCCATCCCAACGCGTCACAAGACGCACGTCAACGTGCTCGCGCACATTTTCCATGGTCTTACCGTACACCGCGTTGTTCATAAGCTTGTACATAGTTCTCTCGAATTCGTTATTCGCACAGATTCTAAACCTCGTATTCAATTCGATATATCCGCGCAGCCATGGCGATTGTGCGAATCGTAAAACGCGATGAATCTTAAGTATACGCATCCCATGACGCACACATTGCTGCAAATTGCGATAGTGTATAACGTAGCGCGACTTATCGTGAAGCGTCGCTAACAGCTTATCGGTGACCTTGCCTGGAGGTGCAGCGCGCAACGGACAGAACGGAAGATCCGCGTGAGCGTCGTGGAGTTCGCGCGGATACGAAAGATCCACCTCAAGAATGTAACCGATATCGGAATTTGCGGTCACAGCCATTATGTCTAGACTTTCCGCGTTGACGTCATCGACCCATTGAAACTGCGCGTACGGCAATGATTCACGCATAGCCCATCCGTACAGATTATTTACGTCGTAGTACATGAGATACGTCGATGCTTCTAACGGATCGTGCGACGGAAGATACTTATTGTTGGCTCGCGCGTATCTGTGGGAGCACTGACAACCACCGCGTACACCGCGTTCCACAAAGAGGAGCATATCGATGTCGGTCAGCAGTTCGAATCGCACACCTGTGTGTTTTAGCATCGCGTCCCACGTGTACCCCGGTAACGTGTAATAATGAGCGGGATCCAAATCGTAACTCCGCATGCAGTTGTCGCGAAAATTCTCAAACACATCCGCCAACAGTAGAACGTCCGTTTTCAAATATAAATCATTATACTCGCCAAGATTACCGATGCGGAAACGTTGCCACACAGTGACCGCGTGCTCGTAGTCGTTATCGCTGACGCTCTCGACAGTCAACGAACTGTAAAAGACCTCGCGGGGCGGTAATTCTGTCTCGCGTAATCGATCGACGCTATCGACGTACTCATAAGGAAACACACCCTTGCGCGTGAGCACTTCGAAATCGTCGTCATCGAAATTCAAGAACGCTGACCGCGTTATTCGCAGTTCGTTCTTGTCCAGATACGACACCAATTTCGCGAGGCTGGCGCTTAAAAACTTACACGAGTCTACAAATCGCAGCTTCACGCAATTGCGCCCCTTTCCCGACGACGTTCCCCGAACTAGTTTCGTAAACGAAATGTATGTTTCTTTGGTTAACGGTAACAATTCCACTTTACCCTCGAAACCGTTGGCGATCTTTTCGATAATGAAATGCGCATCGTAACCCGAAAGATTGTGAAAAACACCGGAATTACGAAGGAATTGTTAAAATTTATATTGCAACGCGCATGAGCCGGTCCCCTGTAACGTCCGGTTATGTGACAGTGGTCGCGAACGCGCTGATCACTCGGCTGGAATGGCTCTCCGCATATGTGGCAACGTTCCGCGTTCCAAAAGCTACGCATCTCATCTGACGTAAGCGACGTCATACTCACGACCGCGGTCAGAGTCCGCTTCGCGCGATGCGCAAGATCGTTCAATTCCCGCGCGAACCACGCCACGCAGTCCTCGCCGCGATACGATTTGTACGTCGTCCCCTCCTCGTCTCGCACACATCGCACGTAATAGCCAACGCTAAACACTGTATGACGTTGATAGGCAAATCCACTTCGCGATACACACTCGCTCTCCTCTCGCTCCTTCTCCAAGACGCACTCCAAATCTGCGTATACCACGTACGGAAGTCTCTCTTTTCGATCGTAGTGACGAAAGCTGAGCCACCTGTTGTCCTCGTTCGGAAGAACAATCGCACAGTCATTCATCCTTTCGCAATCCACGATGTGCTTGGACAATCGTTCACTGGAGTGAAAGTAATGCAGACATCTGAAAGTAATTTATATATATTGTTATTAGTTCACACTTTACAT